ACTATAAGTATATACTGTATGTTTGTTTGTACACTTGAAGTGTATTAAGTATATTTTATTTACTTATTATTTACTTTATTTTACCCCAAGTATTTAGTTTACTTAGTGTAATATTTTTTTCACTTGGGTTTTTCTGCAAGGTTTTTTTTCCCCATTTCTGTGCATTTAGACAAACAACCTTGTCTTTATGGAAAAAGACATGAGCAGTGAGAGATGCATGAGTGTGACCCGGGCAGTGGGGTTTTCTGTTCCACATGTCAATGACTCATTTACCATTGAACTAGCTGGTAACACTGACGTTGTGCCTGGGCTCGGCGTTAAACATGTAGCGAGTGTTCTCTGACTGCAGCTGCAACCTCAGGCACACGAGCTGGTTGCAGATCAATACTTCACCAAATGGGATCATGGAGTTCCATTGAAAGTACCAAAACTAACATCGATAGAGAGGTTGTTCTGTGTTTGTCACAAAGATCACATCTGCTTGTTATTACATAGCTTACCTTTTTAACCCACATTAGGTGACACAAAATCCTTTTTTGTAGTTACAATATTTAAAATGTTTAAAATACCGAAGAGATCATTTAAAAATCTTAAAATATTTAATGTAGAATAAAAGTCATTTTACATTTTTACTTGTGTTCTTTCTTATAGATTAATGTTTTACGCGTTTTCATTTCAAAGTTGTCAAATCATAAAGCACTTTAATTGGCTCTAAATCTACTCTTTTGTAAGTTTATTCTGTCACCCTGAAATAGTGACAAATACAACAGGTTTTAGGTGCAAGATCCAGCAGCAGCAACTAGTTCAGTGATGCAGGAAATGGTGGACATCCCACTGAGCTCTCAAAGTCACATGTCATGCATGTCTTAAGCCTCTTTCATTTTTCTGTCCTCCATCATGCTACGAATCTGGGTTAGAGACCAAATCATGTGGAAAAAGCAGGTCATTATTTGCTTTTCAATACATGGAATGAGATAGTCAATAATGACCTGCCCCAGCTGGATTCTGCATCTCACACACAACCTACTTCTATTTTTTTAATTTCTATATATTTTATTGTCTTCTCCCCCTGCTCTTTTTATTGTCRTTGTAGCCCACTTGGAGTGGTTCTGATATGTTTTTAATGATTATAAATGATGTCAAGATTTTATCGCTTCTCATTCAGACCTTGTTTTATGCAGGTAAAAATCAAAATCAAAAGCTAAATTCATAATTCACGTAACATGAGCCCATTTTCAAAATATGTCCCATAAGTACAATCAATCAAAGTACAGATTTTTATTTGTAATGCACATCAGCATTCATAAACAAGTTGGTGTGAGTAAATRCTTCCTGTTTCTATCTCAGAATGTGTAACACCAGAAAACATGTCGCCAACAGAAGCGTTTTCTCTTCGGTCATTTGTGACCCTGCATCTGTAGCCAGCCCAAGATTGTTCTTTTTCTCTGAAAAACAAAAAGGATCAAATAAATATGTCTCTTATTTATTTGTTTGTCTGTTTGTCACGTACTGCTGTGTACTTACCACTGGTCAGAGTGTTGGACCTCACATCAACCCAAAACACACTGAACTGCTTTGCTACTGTGGCCCTGAGGAAAACAGAAAAATAAAAAAAACACAAAAATAGAGATTGTTTAGGATTTGTCTTAACCACTTTGAGAGTGAATTTGTGTAGTGCCATAAAACAACGGGATGAATTTACATAAAGTAGACTGGGCCCATTGTGTTGGGTGGGATCCAGCTGAACACAGTGGTGTTTCCTTTCAGGTTGGTGTTAGAGTGAGTGACAGCACCTTGTGGATTCCCTGCACACTGTGTGAGTAAAACATATTTAGTCTTTACTGAAAGCTGCAAAGTTTTATCTAGTTGAACATATTTCTGAACTTGTGCAAGGCCTGACCAGTCTTTTAGGAGTTTACAAGTTTAGGTTCAATTTAGGATCATGAATCGTTTTAATCAACACGTGCTTGAAGTGAAAGATCAACCTTCAGGAATTTGGTGTCCGGAGGAGGGAGTCTCCAGCTACCCAAAGCGTTAGCGCTGCCTTGTGTTCGAGCTTCAAGAAGAACTCCTCTGTAGTCTGGGCCAACTATAGTTACTGCAGGGAAACACAACAGACATTTATGTGTCAGTGCACAATCAAAATCCCTTCAGAAATATATCTAATAGATATATAGTAGCTAAAAATATAGTGCAGACCGATATAAGCTGGCCTAATCCTTTGACCCCTAGGCTTTTTTTTTTTCTCTCTTTTTTTGTTGAGTATCAGCTCTACAATAGGGCCAAACTAAATCATTTTCAGCTTTAGTTGTTTGAGAAACTTTTGAGAATTCTGAAACAAAATTCTTACTTACGCTGAACTAAAACATGAAAAACTAAAGCGAATATTGACAATGTTGCTCTCAGTAAATCAAAACTGCATTTTTACAATTATTGCTTTAACATCAGGAAGAAGGAAACGCCCAGGGCTAAAAGAGTAAATGGAGGACTTGTGGCGGGTCAAAAKCTTAGTGGTGCCAGTGATCCTTGAAGCGGTCGGTGCTGTGACCCCACAAACAGAAAGAATTACTCCAACGGGAACAATCTAAGAGGTCTCTGCCCAGAAAAACACAGACCTGGGATCAGCTAAGATTCYAGAACCCTCAAACTCCCAGGGCTCTGCTAGAAGGGAATTTAACAAGTAGTTGAGGATTTAGGGTAAATTTCACATATTTTTTTATTGCAATTGATAGTTTAGCAGATACTTAATTTAAGCAATTTGGTTGATCTAATGATGTCAGTGTTCATTGTTTTCCTTACCTGTAACGGGCACGCCTGGCTGAAACGTCTTGCTGTTGGTGAGAATGCTGTAGGGAGCCGGTGAAGGCTGAGGCTGAACTCCATGTCGAGGGATCATAGCCTCRCAGGCGCCGGTGGGAGCACCGTTCGGGTAGCATTCAACCAAACATAGCACTTTAAGGAGAAATAAAGCCAGCAGCAACATGGTGCTAGAATGAATGAAAATCACAGAACAACAAAAACCAAAAGAGAGGGCCTTTTAAAAAAACTCCCACTGCTGAGTCATGAGACCAAAACATTCAACATTTGCTTTGCTAGAGACTTTCAAAGGCATGAAATTGATTTCATATATATTTTGTAAGCATGATAAGATAGATGCTTTTCAGTAGCAAAGGTCAATGATCTAGCAAGAGTTGACTTTTAGGCTTGAAAAGAATGCTTTTAGTTATTAACCATTTTAAAATTATATTGAAAGTTTAATTACTGATAATTAACATTACTGCACTAAAGTGTACATCGATAAATAGTATAACCAACACATTATGTAACGTTTCATAGCCTTGTAGTGGAGTCTCACTTTTCAACTCTTTTGTTTTGAAATATGAAAATAATCAGAAAACACAGACTTGTTTTGCCAGTTGAAGAAGGAAACAGATGACAGGCAGAGACAAACTTTGCTTTGACTCTGAGCAGAACCAAACGCCTGAAGGCGAAAGCTTGTCCCGTTTCATGATGTTCTCTCTGGCTTTCACTTAAAGAAATGTTCATTTCATAATAAAGTCGAGCTGCACCTTTTCTACCATTTTTGTATGACGTGTTGTGTAAAATTGTTAGACTGAGTGCAGGATATACTTTCTGCATTTTTTTTTTTTTTTGTAAACTCGTGCTCATTATGTTGCGTGACAGTGTTTTGTTCCAGCTGATTATAGAATTATTGACAGAGTGCACATTAACTAATTCATTTTCCATGCGCTGTCATAACATAGTGACTCCGTGCTTCAGGATTTTGTTTCCAGTAGTCTTTCCTAACCTGAACACTCAGGTTGTTAAATAAAATTTTGAATTAGAAATTATGCAAAAATTGAAGATGACCTAATGACTTGAGACTAAAATTGAGAAAAAAATGTAAGAAATTGTGAATAATGTTAATCTATATGTTACCTTGTTTGTTCATGTCAAAACCAACAAAAAACATTCAAGTTATACAAATTTGTTATTGTACATTTTAGACAATTATTTAYGTGTAACGATAAAGACAGCAGGAAAAACTGCAATAAAAAATGTCAACTTATCATCTGTTCTACAATTTGTAAAATGTAACACTAAAACTTGCAGCCTTACTTGGGCTTAAAATGGCCTGTAGACAGAATAATAACAGCAGACTTGCAGTCTTAAGTACATTTGCTTTGGGAATTAAAAAATTGTGATTTGTGTAACAATTTTTTTGTTTGTTTGTTTTTGATTCAGAGCTGCTGTTACTCAGTTATATATTTTGTGTTTTCATAATTTCACCCTACAGGCCAACCAAAGTGATTCCTTATGGCAACACATTTAATATTTGCTCATGATATTGATTTCATAACTATCAGTCAACATGTGTGGCTTTCATTTGACCATTTTTTGAATCTTAGAGCACTCGTGATTTGAATTCTGCAGATTTTACTGCTTCTATATTGTGGAAAAAATGTGACAAATAAATCATATATGAGTGTTTTGTTTTCCACATGTCCAACATAAACTCTTCCTCACCACAGTGACAGGTGTGAAAGTGTTGTTGTCCTGAGTGACCGCATCAGGCAGAAATAGCTTTTGAAGTATTTTCATGGCTGCAGAGGTTGGTTGAGTCTAACTTGAACCAGAGTAAAACTGATCATGTGGCACAGAAACAAAGAAGTCTAGTTTTCTAAATCCAAATGAAAATATAATTAGACTGCATATAAATGCACAAGTAGCACAGTAGACAAAATATATATTTCAAAACAACACATTTTATTTAAACAATAGAAGACGAATTAGAAAATCTCAACGGATAACTGTGGTGTAACAAAAACATGTTAGTTTATATAATTAATCAATCAGCAGACTTTTTGGATAGGCAATTGTCTTTCTTTTAAAAATAATTATGTAGTTCTGTGTCTTTTAGTAATTTGGAAAAAAGCTGCAGTTCAGTTCAGTTCAATGTACTTTCTGAAATACCCTAAAAAACTTTAAAATTATGTTTATTTGGTTATTTGAGAATAGTTTCTTTTTATTCTGAGCTGGTTATTTAGGGAGGTATTAAGGCAAGACTATGTGTTTGTATATTTGCACAGTTAGTCAGTATGAACCATTCCTGTTCACACCTTCAATTTGAAAAATAACCAAGCCTGGTCAGACAAAAAAATTTTTAACGACTTTTAGAAACATTACACACATACATCAACAACTTCCTATAGTCTAAGGTCACTTATAACATTGCAAATTTCATCAGAACTACTACTTTTTTACACAGTGTACAGTAATCCATCTAGTTTAATTGTTATACATTCATATTTCACCATCACATTGTGTATTTTGTTTTAGCTACTCTGTCTTTTAGTTTGTTTAGTTTGTATTTCCTTTTTGAGCGCTCAAGTTTTAGGGTTCATGTTGTGAGATGCAGTGACACCTAGTGGTGAAGTTACAGACTGCAACCAAAAATAAAATAAAATAAAACTTTCCATCCCATCTTCCTTTTTTGCAGTTGAACGAAGAAACGTAGGGTTTGTTTGTATCAGCGTAGAACCATGATGGCAAACTAAAAACTAAAAATAAAATATCTTTCTTAGAACAAAACCACAACATGTCTACCTCTACCAGGAATCGTTACTTATTAAAACAYGTGTTTAAATTAACAGATGTACCCGCCCTAAATATTACAAAATAAAACACATTTCAAACATTTTTCCGTAAGTTATCTTTTCCTAGTTTGATAATATAAGATAAAAATCTAATGAAATTCAAGGCTGTAGTGCACAGTACTGTGGTTTGTGTCAGATGACCAGATCTCATGGTCATTTTCTCAAACTTTTCAGTTTCATTTACCGTATCAAAATCAACTTTTCATGTGACTAACATCTGATAGCTCCAAACAAAAGATCACATAACCTAGAAGATAGTAAAAAAAAAGCATTTTGTGCCGTTGACATTTTTTCTCAGCAAAACCAAACATCTTGCAAAAACAGAATAATAAAACATCTCAAACAAGAACACCAGTGTCACAACAAAGACAAGAAAACCCTCTAGGACTAAATCTAAAATCCCTTAAAAAGAAGTTTATCTCTGCTAGCTGCTCTGGGTCAGGTTCACGGTGTCTTTGATCTCTTCGTGGTTCTTTCAGCAGTCATAGAAGGATTTACAGTACAAAAAAGCAGATACAGTAGGACTCATCCCATGGGGGGAAAAGTGATTTTTTTTCTTCTTTCTTTTTATTTTTTATACATGTTTGTTTTCAAAGAAATTCATTACCAATGAAGATAATCTTTCTCTCTCCTCTCAGGAAACACTCGTGTTGTGGTGATGGTGTCGTTTTGTTTTCCGCAGGATCAAAATTATCAATCCAGACAAAAAATCACCAACACTTACATCATCTTTGAGATTTAAAGCTTCATGTTGAAAAATCATAGAAAAAAATTCCAGTGACTCAAACTGACTGTACTGTTCTTTTTTCCAGTTTGAGTTTCAGACACATCCGGTCTGGTTTAGTACATTTAGCAAAAGAAAACAAAAATGCTTTTTGCGCATTTGGTGTCGATAAATAAAATCTGATTTGGTCCACCCGGGGGGAAATGGTCATCGTCTGTAAGAAAACATTCTCTAGTTGGAGCAGGTGTTGATGTTTTTTCCGTCAGCCGCATCCTCAACCAGAGCTAAGTGGTAGTCAGTAGAAAGAGTGAAATGGGACACGCAGCCCACCAAGCCTCCGATGTACTGCCTGTTCGTGTGAAGAGCGATCTCTTTCATGCCACCTGGGGTTGAACACAAAGAGTGCAGATAAGAGAGAGAGTGTAGAAATGCAGATAACAAAATGATGGTTTTGACAGAACATCCAGCACAAAGAGCCTCACCCACCAACATATAGAGGACCATTGATGTTGAGTTGTCTCATCATGCCAGGTGACCTGCCTGTCTTTGCTCCATAATCATCAACTGTCAGCTTCCCGGACTGACCATCTCTGAAAGATAAAAGACAAATGAGTAAACAAAGATTATGTCTTATGGGCAAACTGGTGTTTTGTTTTTTCATTTCCCACAAATGCTTGAATGTTTCAGATTTTTCTGCCCTCTATCAAGCACATTGAGATTTTTAACAACTCTAAACTTATTATTTTGGTTTTCTCTTTTACAGCAAGGCCTCAGCCGAGCATCGGTGCCTTTTCACTGGACGTCTTATTTCAAAGGAATTATGAATAAGTGATCTGAGTTGGCGTTTTTACCTGACAGCCTTGACTTTGTGCCATTTCCCGTCACTGAAAGTCCCGTTGACAACGACGTTAACCACACCACTGCCCAAGTTATAACTGCAACCACAGAAACACAAGAAATTCAATTAGTGGAACAGCATAACTTAAAATAAAAATAAAAAATTCAGGATTTACTTTYTAAACATTGATTCTGTTGGTTTGGTCTCTGATGATTTGAGATTAAGTTTTTAAAGTCTGCTGAAATGTGACTTTCCCACCCCGACTCTTATTTATTTATTTGATCAAAGAGGACATACATGAGTCATTAGACATGCTGAACCATGACTAAACAACAGGGGAGAGGATAGTTCCAAAGATAAAATGGGTSTCTCAGTTTGAACGCTCTTAATTTAGTTTGTAATGTTTTCAGTCTTTGCTTGACCAATATGCTGAACATGATTGCTCACTTTCAAGTCACTTGTGGAGAGAAGTGAACTTGGTTACTCTGGGAGTTTAATCACAAGTAATTTATAATAAAAAACCCATGTTATATTCATTTAATTTTTTTTTTATTAACTGTCTGCCAGATTTTGAATAAAGTCTAAAAGAAACACCTGAAAATGAGAGCTCCATCCTGGAGCCCCAAAGACAGGAAGTCACTGTTGGGTCTCATTGGACTGTCTCCTCTCCACAGTAACAAGCCATCATTAGCTGTGCTTTTAAAACGCATGAACAGGTTAGTCCTGGAACCAGAAACTCTGAAAAAAAACATGAAATAAAGATATATTTTGTGAGGCAGTGATGCGAGTTGATTAGAACATTTGAAAAATGTGTGGAATGAGCAGCTTTTTTTTTTGTTCGGTCTTTATTATTGCAGACAAATGTTTATGTGWTGAAGAGATGAAATCCAACGTCACTGCCAACCTTTTAAGGATATCTCTGTTGTCGTAGGTCAAGTAACTCCTGCCGATAAACTGTGGGATTTCTATGGCTTCAGTCACAGCTGGGCAGAAAAAAGAGGAAAACAAAACAGTAATACTTTCCTGTCATCACAAGGTGGCAACATCAGCTTGTATCTAACAGCTAAGACTAGACGTCAGTCTGTAGAGAGAAATGAGTGAAAATGAAAGGAGTTTTAATTAAACTTCACTTTGCTGGTGTTTGCTTTAAAAATGTATAGAAAAAACTTACTGTTCAAACAGTAATTTCCACACTCTGCTCAACGAAAGCATTAAAAACAAAACAAAAAAAGGAACAGACAGATTTGAAGGTCATTTCTTGACAAAATAAAAACAATTAATAACAGAGAGAGAATATTGTGCTAAAAATATTCCCCAAACAAAATTAGTTGTTCTGTAGTTGATTTTCATTTCATTTATTTTAATCTCCATGAGCTGTGACACGCACAGCTCCTAGTCATTTAAAGCAGGTTCTTCACCAGACTTCACAGTTTACCACCAAAACACTGACATTTTATTCACTTATTTATTCAGTGGCAATTTATTATTTGCTTTAGACTGTAAGTTTTCATATTTAACTCTGTGGATTTTGTTCAAGATATAAAAATAGATCATTTGCACTGTTTGCCATCAAACAAAATAAAAAATAAAATGTTTCTGATGAATTTTGTATACATTAAAGATTTGTCTCAGTGATTTGATAACTAAAGCCTGCTGTTTGCACGTAACAAACTGGGAAATACCCATCAACCTCTGAGATGTGCTGGTTGTTATTTGAACATTAGCTTACACTTTTGGATCCATAACTTTGTTCACAATGAAAACATCATCAACAGCACAGCAGAGAGAATAATACCTTTCTGGCAGTGTCTTCCATCGTACCCCAGAGGGCAGTCGCACTCATAGCCATCCCACTTCGGCCGGCACGTCCCTCCATTGGCGCAGGGGCTTTCCACACATGGGTGAGCTGAATTTTGAACGTTAACTCCACCAGCAGAGTCAGTCGTGATCGGGATGTTGCGGTCATTGAGAACCAGCTGAGGAGACAAAAAGAAAATGTGTCTCTTTTTTGTTTCCAATGAACCAGTGATTGCAGTCAGATATGGATACATGACGGTAAATTTAAAGAAAACACTGTTTGCTTTAAACTCCATTGTGTGACAAATGTTTGCGTGTGGATGTGCGACACTGCATCTTTCACCTTCTGAATGACTCCAGTGAAGGGCTTTGTTACACCTGCCGTTCTCTTGGTTTTCTCATAAACAGGCACTCCGCCGACATAAAGAGGTGAACTGCAGTTGATCTGAGTGAAAGCGCCCTAACAAAATAAAAATAGATTATTGTTGAAACTTATAAATAAATCTACTTATCTCATATATATTAATATGTTTTAGGAATGTAATTACATGTGTTATTTTCCTCATTAAATAAAGTTTACTTGATAGTTAACATCACATTTTTTTACATTGCAAAATGCACTACACTACAGGATGTTTCATCTTGTGAGCAAAGTACATTGGGCCTCATGCAAGAACATGTTCATATTCTTCTCCTAAATTTCTCTTACTTTTGTTCATACGAACATGTCACGTCAGATTCAACAAACTCTTCTATCTTCAGGAAAAGTGCGTAAATGAGCTGCATAAATTCCACCTGTTCGTATCCAGCTGCTCGTGCACGCGAGAGGAGATCAGCATAATTACCACCCCAAAAACACCATATAAGGCTGTGTTTCCTGCCTCATATATCAGGAAGTGTCCATTCATGAAAATGACAGCGAAAACTAAAAAGAGAAAAACTTTACGAGTTCAGAGATTGAAGTCCGTCTGTCAGAGATCCAGAAAAGAAAATCTGTCATTTTTAGCAGGTCAGCTGTGGAATAAAAAGAGCTGCTAAAAGTATAAACAACTGTGTTAAATCATTTTCATTTATTCAGAAGCCGCAGCGCTGTGCACCGTACCACCCCCCCCCCCCCCCACTCCCAGTTGTGGTTCTGAAATAAGCATTTTAAAATGTTTTCAAAATAAGTCTGGCACTTTGGAGAAAACTCAGGACTTGCTAGAGGGATTATGTATCCCCTCTGGTCTGGGAACGTCTCAGAGTCCTCCAGGACGAGCTGGAAGGTGTCACTGGGGAGAGCGGGGTCTCTCAGCTGCTCCCCACGACCCAATCCCAGATAAGCAGCAGAAAACGGACAGACGGATATTTTCTATTGTTAGTCTAAATTATTACATTTAAAATTATAACTCTAATTCAAGCAGAATAGCCTATTGTCAACATAACTATGGAATGTGATTTATTTTCAACTCAAAATATCTTCAAACTAATGAAATATAAATTTCTTAGTGAAGAAAACCCGTCTGGATAACAGCAGACTGACTGTTCGTAAAATATACGACAGGTCTGGACCACTCGTGAATTTTGTTCGTATCTGAAAAAAATCTTAGAATACGAAAACATTGGTGAATGCCACAAATTCTCCTAAATCACTCGTACGCACAACTTAAGAACAAATCTGTGCGTACGAACGSTTCTTGCATGAGGCCCATTGAGTTTAAATTTAGAAGATTTGTATTTTTGAAATGTCTCTATTAAATTAACATAAAATTATGGAGGGTTTATTTTAATGGATTAGATTATATACAAATTTTAAGTAAAGTTTTGTTAAATTCTTATCAGTAATCAGTATCTTACCTGCATTAGATTACTCTAGGAACTATCAGTTTAGAAAACAAGGCAGAGGTTCTCAGCAGCTTTCTGCTATCTCAAATCACAATTTTAAAATTTAGGAAATTGTTTTGAAACTGCCCCATTTACTTCTGTCTGATTCTTTTAGTTAATAATTCTTGAAAGATTTTTACTGCAGGTAAGACACTGACAGCTTCACATAACACAACTTCAAAAAAATTATAACTGTTACTTTACATACATATAAAAGTTTATGTTTAATATTTTTGTTCTTTATTTTAAAGCACATAAATACCTCAGAAATTCCCTCCATTGGTTTCTGGTTGTCCACTTGCAGAATCCCGCTCTTCGCTGTGCGAGACACTCTGAGCTCATGCCATGAGTCCAGACTTATCTGCTCCTCACTCCTGAAGCACAGATCATTTCACATTCACAACAAATTAGAAAACATAAACGCTGAGATAAGACAGGAACTTTCTTATACCTGATGACAGCTTCTCCAGAGCCGCAGTCAAACCTAAACTCCACGTATCTGTCCACCAGCTTTATAGCCAAGAAGTCTCTGCTGTCCKCATCGTCACTGTACAGGAGCACCCCATTGGGCATGGACGGCCAGAACGTCACCTCAAACTCCATGAAGGAAAGGTAACTCTGAGAGGACTGAGGCCACGGGATGACGGCATATGAAAACACTGTTTCGTTGAAGAGCGGTGAGGACAGCAAGAAGCCTGAGGAATTGAGAGGAGATCAGAGAATACAAAAAGGAAAGTTTTAACGATTAAGAAAAAGTCATTTTGAAGAAAAATAAGTCAAAAGGAAGGGCACAAGGAGGAGAAAAAGAAAAGTTGAAAATGTGTTCTAACACGCAATCAATCCCTTTCCCTTTATGTAAGAAATAATAATCCTCATTTTAGACAATTTTCTTCAATCTGTCCATAAATTGTTGAGTAATTACCGTAAACGCTCAGCATGACAGCTGTTATTTATTTATTTTTTTACTATTAAAGTAGTTAAAAACTTGTAAATATGGCTAGTGTGTAACTTGAGTGCAATAAAAAAAGAAGCCAATACATTTAACTTACTCTCTTCACAAAGGGCTCCCCTGAAGCCCAGCGGGCACAGACAAATGTAGCCATCGGCACGGTTTGCAAAGCAGACGCCACCGTTGGCACAGCTGACCATGTCGCACACTCTGTCGCTGCATTCACCTTGAAAAAAATATCAGATTCTGAAAATTGTCCATACAAAGGATATTTAAGTTCTCACATGGTTTTAGTGTTTCAGCTAACATCCCACCTCTATTGCTAGGTATAAAATATATAAAAAATATTGCTACATAAGGTAAATGAGCAACAAAAGGTTTATTTAAAAAGAGTAGAAAAGTAAAGCATCTTGTTTGTTTTCTCACCTATATCAGCCCCACTCAGAGCTTTGCCGAGAGGCCACGGCCTGATGTCTGTCACTTTGTTGTTGATGGTCAGACTCTGTATGCAGCCCACAAAGCCACTATTAGTTCCTGTTGCCTTGAACAGCCAGTAAGCACTTGGAGATCCACCCACGTATAACGGGGAGCGGAAAGTAATCTTAGTGTACTGGCCCTGAAGGAGAAACACTGAAGTGAGCAAAGTGGCAGAAAACTCAGAGTTTTTAGAAAGTAAATTTTTTTTTTTGGT